GGCTTAGGGCTTAGGGCTTAGGGTAGGGGTGTTCGGCTGAGTTTTGGTTGGCTTCGGGTGCTAGGCTGTGGGGTTCTGGGGCTTATGGCTTGAGGGAATTCGTGTACCAAGTTGAGGGTTTCAGGGTTGGGGATTTTGTTGTAGGGGTTTGGCTTTGTCTGGGTTGGCTTACGGCTTGGGGCAGAATTCGAAAAACTGCGACACTCGTGAGCAAAGGCTTTGAGTTAAAGTCGCCGCAGGTGCTGGAACTTGAACCTTTGAGCCTGCATGAGGCTGCAGAGCATCGCTCAAATTCAAAGGCTTTCCGACGCAAGACAACATGTCCGCTGTGCAGGCCGCCACGTTCCGTAAGCCCAGCTAAAGCAACTCAGAATCCATGACCTCAAGACTCTGCCAGCGCTTCAGGCTGCAAGGCAGACTGCAAGGCACGCCTTTTTCAGAAGGACATGGCAAGCCTACCTTTGAGGCGATGAACGAAGGGACTACACTATCTGCGTGCATCCTAGCCGAAACACACTGCGATTCCGCGAATCTTGGATGGTAGAAGGGGCATGAAGGAATGTTGAAGTGTCTTGCTTGACCTGGCAACGGAAACGAGACTCCTGAGCCCTGCGAGCAGGTGGCTCAGCTGAAAACGAAATTCCCGCTCAGCTCGCCTGCCCAGGAACGATCCCGTGGTGCCAACGCTGTGGCATTCACGGCCTCACAGCTCCTTTGCTGTTTCTGAGTTCGCGAGGCAATTACTGGTTCACGGAGAAGCTTGTCTAGGACCTTTGAAAACCCCTGCGCCCTGGACATCCAGGAGTCCGGTACATCTGACAGTAGCCAGACTCGGCATCGAAGTCCCAGCACCGGCACCCAGGCTCACCTGGAACTCTTGGCTCACTCAACGGTTCTTGTTTCATCATTGGCAGTGCTTTGAAAGGGCCTGGTGCCTCGGGTTTAGGGACACTTATGGTGATATCATGAGCCACATCAGCCCACATCAGCCCACTCAACCGGAGCTGCCATAGCCATGGCACACAATGCCCTGATCTTAGAGTTTTAGAATTTAGAACATGAAGACCCTGAAATTCCTGAAAGGGCCCTCGCCTTAGGGTTCCCCTTATTTCTGTGCCGGCCTGGACGGATTTGAAGGAAGCAGGCCCGGGCACATCGACAGGCATCCCGTTCCTCAGAAGGCTCCAAAGTCGGTACTTCCTCCGCTGCCGCCGCTGTTGCGACTGCTGCTGCTGCTGCTACTGCTGCTACGGCAACTCCTACTCCGACTACGACTGCACTCCCACTGCCACTGCTACCGCTACTGCTAGCTGCTGCTGCTGCTTCTACTACTGCCTCAAGAGCTGAAGACGACGACAGCCGCGACCACGGCTGCTTACGTCGTTTTTGCTGCACTCACTGCGGTCATCATAATGCCTTGAAACGCAACAAGATGAAGAGAGAGGGAGGGAGAGATCATGAAAATCGACTGCCGCCTGCTTACCGTGTAGAGCCCGGCAGGCAGAAGGTTGGCACCACGCCACCGATACTCTGCATGGACACCGTCACCCCGAGGAGTCAACCTTGCAGGGTTTAGGTGGGCTTCGGTCCTGGAGAGGGTCGCGTTCGGAAAACCGTGGACACGTTCATGCGCAGCCGACGTGTCAGTCGAATGCAGCCAAACAAAAGCCGACCACCAGAAACGCCTGCGGCCGTCATCCCTGCATGTGAACGAAAACAAACGTGAGGACACCTGCGCTGTTGCAACATTCCACCCACCTCGGTTAACGGGTGCAAGCGCCCACTCGGCGTATGTTTAGGGGTTGCGCGCAGCTGCATCGCCCTAGTGACGCGGTCTATGCCAAGACGGGTCATGGAGGTGTATAGTAGATTCAAGCCAGCGCAAAGTGCACTTGTACGCTTGTGTCATGGGATGTGCAGTGCACGCACTGTTGCGTGCGACTGCCTGGCATGCTGGGCATGCACCCGATTCGGGCAGCATCCGGACGCAGCAGCGGTCACTTGTCAATGTAAAAGGTCGTCCGCTATTCAGTCTACCAGCTGGCGCCATGACAGTGTGGTGCCTGGCCAACCTAAGCCTCTCATAAAAGCCAATGAATGGCTGCAAGGATTCTTTCACGAGAGAACACACAGTGCAAAGAAGAGTGCTCGACTCAAGCACGGTACCCTTGACAATGTGCGCGCTTTGAGCGCGTCTTTGCCAACCGCAGCCGTGCTAATCTCTGCATTGTCTTCGACACACTTGTACGACTGTATGTGCAGACAATCCAGACCTGCTACCGGAATCGAACTGATTTCTGATGTTCAGGCACATGTTCACCCATGGCACGAGTCTGAGTCACGATCAACGGTATGAAGACTTGGGCTCATGGCGATGAGGTAAAGCCGACTGAGCTTGGGAAGCCCCTGTAGGACGTATGTTACAGCAAATGAGAATATACTATACTTTACTTTAATGCGTCTTACTTTATAATATAGTGAGTGATAAGCATGTTGGACCTCCCAGAGCCGCGCCTCGACCTGCTCCCTGAAGCGGAGAAGCAGTTGCTCTCGTGGTCGCTGAGCAGCTTCACCTAGGGCTAAGATTGAAGTTGAGGATCAACTAAAAGAACATATAGTCTAACTATGATACACTACCAAATAATATGACATGCTGCTAAGATTGGACTCTCGCAACTCGGACTTGCTGGCGAAGTTGGCTCGGCCGGAAGGCTGGACATACTGGCAAAGATTAGGGTTTAGGGATTAGTACTAAAACACTATAACATTCCATGATAAACTCTGAAACACTGTGATCAACCATAAAATACTATCATATACTAGGAGATGCCTTGACATACTATACCCTAGGAGAACAAACTATCACATAGCTTAGGGTAGCTTTCCTCCCTTGGGCCTTAGAAGTCAGACCGAGTCCGCGACATCTCGATAGCCCAGCTCCATCAACAGCCTGACGCAGCTGGGCAATAGCCTTGATACAGGGGCCTTAGCAAGTAGAATAGGGATACGGAACATATGATATACATCGAATAATCGCCTCTGTTATTGGAAGAGGTTTTTCGGGGCATATTTCCCTACGACTCATTCTATGATAGGAGCCCGGGCTATAAGGCACCAGGCACCACCTGGCACCAAATGTCCCTAAACCCTTTTGAATAAACCCTAAACCACTGCTCTGCCGGTGCCTGTCGAAGATGCTCCCCGACGAAGTCCCGCGCTCGCGCAGCTGCTGTGCGTGAATCTCCAAGAAGAGCCTCTGGGATATTACAATAGATTGTAACATAGTCTAATATAGCACACTACAGCATACTCAAGTGTATGCATCTATGCATATACATATATATATATATATACCTCTACGTTCTTGTTTTTAATATGCTGTTATAGAATGGTCCTGTGCTTTTGTATGTTATAGTATACTCTACAGTATGCCATAGCTCACTATCGTATGTTGAAATATATTATAGCATGCTATAGCACATTGCAGTATATTAACATTTACCAACATTCACTATCGCTACTCATTAGTTCTGGCATATTGTTGTATATTCTGGAGAATTGTCTCTATTGCAGTATGTCGTAGTATCGCATAGAAAAGTGTGGTATTGTGATACTCTACTATGGTATTTTAGGGCGATCTGAGAAATATGCCATTTCTCGTATAGCAAAATAGGTTTTAAAATACTTCATTTTCTGGTCCTACACAAAGCGATAATACCTCGTAGTATTTGGTACCATAACATACCATAGTAGTAGTAGCACATGACGGTAGGATATCTGTTTCTCTCTCACACTGCCATGTCATCCTCGAGCGTCTCGCTACGCAGGGGCACGTAAGGGTACGCCGGAACCGCGAACCTCAGGAGGCACAGCGCGC